TCAGAGTTGACCCCGCTTCCCCGCATAAAGCTGGGATCCGTCTCCCAACGTTGTCCATCTTTGCGAGGTTACATCCAATTCAACCTCGTTTATAATTGAGCCCAACGTTTCTCCTTTCGAACTGTGACCAGAACATGGTGAACTGAATTACACTCTCTATTTAGGTCTCGATCGGTTATTAATGTGGACAAAAAATCTCGTCTTCTGAGTGCGAAGCTCGTTTTGAACTCAGTGCAGACTACAGCAGCACTTCACCGAACAAGAGAAGTTCTGTCAAAAGAAAAGATGACAACGCCAATTCGAAACCATGATGCACTGCAATTTGAAATCAGACAGCCTCAGCCAACGTATGAGCGCATATATGCTCGTTGGGCTGGAGGTTGATGGTTCCCGTCAATCTTCAAGGAGGTGAACAAGCTTTGAGGGGCTGAAACACTGCGACGATGGATACCCCTATTCTTCTTCGGCTTCTGCAGAAGCGATCCAGAAGCAGGCGTGAAAGAAGCTTTGCCTAGTCGTTCGTACATGGACTAATGCTGCCCAATGGCAGCATTTGACCGGTCCATCTCGAGTTCCCAAGCCTTGCCACGAACCTGGTTGATGGCGGCAGGACTGAGCTGCCCACCCCAAAATCATAAGGTTAGCAATGCACTCCATGGCATTGGCCTGGAGGTGAAATTTTCTCACAGAGCTGTCCCCTGCGGCCGAAAGCTTGGGGAGATGAACGACGCGTCGTCTCAACATCGAAAGCTTCCATCTCTTGACAGTCATGTCTCCAATCTTTTACTTTATTGCCCAAAAAGAGCCCAAAAGGGGACTGGGCGTCCGGAGCTTCTTTTCATTCATCGCTTTTCCCTAGCGGAATGAACAAAACTCCGTCGACCCCATGATCCCGCCATGATGATACTTCAACTTCTTATAGCAGCTCTTGCTGTGACGCATGCCCTCGCTAGCCCCTTGAGCGGCCGGCCTTGTGGAAACGACTCCACCACAAAGCAGGGTCATCGGAATCTCCTATACGTAACGAATTGGGGGATTTATGGTGCGGACTACCACCCCGATAGCCTTCCTGTAGAAGACATTACGCATGTGCTATACGCTTTTGCAGATATCAAATCGAACGGAACAGTGTAAGTCTCGCGTCTTCTTTCGACCTTGAGTTCCGATCCTCATCCACGTCCCTGTCTAGCGTCTCATCTGACCCATGGGCCGACACCGGAAAGCCTTTTGGCAACGAAAGCACCACAGAGCCTGGCCATAACGCTGACGGCCTGGTCAAACAGCTCTACCTAAAGAAAATGGCCAACCGCAACATGAAAGTCATACTATCCATAGGCGGCTACAACTGGTCACCCAAATTCGAACCCGTCGCTGCCGACAAATTTCGCCGCGCAACCTTTGTTTCCTCCGCCATCAATCTCATGGCAGACTTTGGGATGGATGGCATCGACATCGACTACGAGTACCTAAACACTACTGAAAAGAATCAAAATTGCGTAAAGCTCCTGTCCGAACTTCGCACAGGCTTGGACGACTTTTCGAAGAGCAATGCAGGCGGATATCACTTCACTCTAGGCTTTCCTGCACCAGCAGGTCCTCAAAACTACAAAGCATTTGACTTCCAAGAGATGGACAAGTCTCTCGACTTCTGGTCACTCATGGCATTTGATTTTGCCGGTGCCTGGGAGAACGTCACAGGCCACCAGTCCAATGTCTTCCGCAGCAAGCGAAACCCGCAAAGCACCAAGGCGAGCGTCGAGAGGGCCTTCGAGGACTACATTGAAGAAGGAGGGATCTCTCCTGCCAAGATCAACTTAGGCATGCCCCTCTACGGTCGCGCCTTCGGCAACACAAAGGGTTTGGGGAAATCGTACAGCGGACTACCGAATGGTACGCTCGGCCAAGCTGGAATCTACCTCTACAAAGACCTCCCTAGGCCCGGTGCGACGGTCCATTGGGACAGTGCAGTCAAGGCCACGTACTCATACAACAACGCGACGCGAGAGCTGGTGACATTTGACAATATAAGAAGCGCAAAGTACAAGCAGGCTTATATCAAGAAGAAGAAACTAGGTGGTGCTATGTTCTGGGAGGCTACGGGCGATAAGGCGGGTGACGAGAGTCTGGTTCGCAGTATGGCGAAGGGGATGGGCAAACATGAGAAGTCGCAGAACTTGCTGTGGTACCCGACTTCTCAGTATGACAACATTCGCAATGGGATGAAGACAAAATTTATTGTGCCTCCAAGCAAGAGATCATAAAGTTGGCCGAAAATCACGGGCTACATGAATTCATTGAGCTTTGGTTCCAAGCCAGGGTATGTGTGCAGATGCAAGTAAATGTGATCATGCGAAAACGTTGGGATAGAAGTGACTTGGGTGCTTGTGAGGCGGGAAAATTAAAATATTGTCTATCAATTTTGAAGATAAAAGCTTCTCGACGATTGTGTGTAACTGGAGGCAGTAGAAAGGCATATGGGCTTTATAGTTCTGCACCACTGCCTGTGTTTGTCATGCTTTTGCGCCGTATCGATTTCGCTGTGATCGCATCAGTGTGATCATCCTGGTGCAGCTCCAGCTAGGTAGCCACCTGTGCCACTATTAAGTGCCCAAGCCTGATGAGGGGTATGCAAGGTGTAGTGCGATAAAAGCTACAAACACAAGACCTCCATTAATGCAGACCGTTCATGTCCCTGAAAAGTGTGATAGCATGAGCTGATCTGGGTAAAATAGTGCGAGCCAATCCCCGTCATCAGCGTCCGAGGCTGACGCAAGGCAAGACATCGAGCACATCTTCATTTGAGCTGAAGGTGTCTTAGTCTGTCAAGAGGCTGGCTGAGGTTGAGTCCGTCAAGTATTGCGACACCTGCAGGTCGCCCAAGATTGATTGAACGCGGGCCCAAGCGTTTCTCCCCGCAGGATTGGACGAGGTACGCGGTGGCCGTTCGCAAAATGTGTCCTTCATGTAATTCCTTGTTGACAATCACGCTAGACTAAACGTCCATTACATTTCCCCGCTTCAATAGTCGCGTTCCGGGGCCCAGGTAACATGGCCCAGATCGCAGTCTGGAACCCAGTCCGTTGTATAAGCCTAGCTTGAGCGGCTAGCTGGCTGACTTTCATCACATTTGTTCCATGGGAATTGTGATATGTACATATTTTGTGAGACAACTCAGCTTAGCATTTGGTCTCGGGATATTCCCTCACCAGAGATAGGAAAGGTTAAGTTTCGATCAATGACTGCGGCTGGTTAACATCTTGCTGTCCACGTGCGGTCCACTCAGCTGGGACAATATCTTGACTTCACACACGACAACAAGTTATGAAAGAGTCTCGATCAATTATCCCACTCAGTTCCTAGGACAGCAAAACTGATAGATGGGGTGGCAGCGACGCAACAAGACTAGCTTCTTTCCGCCTGCCCTGCATGAAAACACGGAAGCGTACATGTACATGTAATGTCGGGTTCAGGAGCGGACTCGAACAGACATCAATAGTCAGAGTTCATTCCTCTTTGGGATTGAATTATACACAGCTGAGCTGTAGTCGAATGAGTAACTTTGAACCATAGTTTGCATGGCCACAGCTGGAACGGACTCAAGGACATAAAGACTGGATGGGATCACCCTCAATTCCAGGGTCCTGTCAGGAACAAGAGCAAAGCACAGATACCCTCGGACTATTTGCTCTATTCCCATTCTATTCAGGCCCAACTTTCCACCGTCTTTCAAAATGGTCAAGTACAGCATCACGGTCCAGAACCAGTCTGGTTCTCAGCAGCAGTATGTTCTCTTCAACAAGCCACCAGTGGTTACTGGCAGAGTCCAGGGCCAAATTTGGTCCAACGTCTTTGCGACTGGAAACACCCCCAGAGGCTCCCGGACGAACTTTACATTCTCCGGCCAGTACTCTGCTGTTGTTGCAACTTCCCAGGGCAGCCCTTCATCGGGTGTTCAGGTCAACGTGAGCGGCGAAAAAGATGTAACCCTCGGTTCTGTCAAGAATGACGGGGCCGCCGTCCCAGGCAGCACTCTGCAGCTTATTGTCGCTGGAGACGCACCGCAATTCAGCAACAATCCTCTTCCTAATAGCGCCTTCTCGAATGCCTTTGAAATCCAAACCGGCAATGATTTTACTTTTGCCAAAGCTAAGCAGGGTTAGTTCTCTTATTCCGAATATTGGAGGTCAAGCTATGCATAAAACTGATCTGAATGTCATGTCAGGAAACTACCTAATCGGTCTTGGAGTTTCCAGGACTGGCAATGGCCAGGATGGACCTTTGGCTGCTTTCGTTCCCGAACCCAATGTACGATACCAAATTCAGCCTCTCAACACCTACTACTTGACAGTTGGCAGCTACCGCAAAGGAGAATTTATTGATGCGAGTATGATCGGAGGCAGCATTGTGGCTGTTGACTTCAATAGGTTGCAGTCCAACGTGGTTATCGTTCACGACGACCGTGGCAACCTTCAAATCCAGGCCTAGTAATGGATTGGATTTAGTTATTTAGGAATATCACAGATCAAAATCAGTCACTAGAGTCGTTTTGACATAACTAGAAGCATCGAACTTGTACCTTACCCTCAGTGGAGACGCTATCTACGACTAGGTGCTTACTTGTCTTCGTCGGTAATGCGAAATTCAGCACGCGATTCTTTCCTCGGCCGCAATAATCCTGTCGACATTACGAGCAACGTTCATTTCGACAGCGTCGTTGTGACTGTGATCCTGTTTCTCCGCTTTCGGTGAAGGGTGTGGATAACCCGTCTGTTGCGATGCTGGGGACGGAGCACGTCATCGGAACTCGCGCACGGAGGACTCTTCGCCCATCCGGCGAGCCTGGTTTGCAACGCCGGAAGACGGGCATGCGGCTTATCTAAGAGCCAAACTTTTAAAGTCTTGTCCTTGGAGGCTGCACGATGACATTTGCTTCCCATTTCCAATGCCATTTCCAATGGAATGATCAATTGAGCGACAAGCCTCAATCGAATTGAATCGCAATGCAGCTCACGACGTCAACGTTGGCTTCGGCGGCTTTGTTCCTCAGCTGCAGTGTTGCGGCACAAGGCGATGCTCAGACACCTCTCGTCGGCCCCGCCCGGGATGCCATATCGCCGTCTTCACGGCCAAACATTGTCTTCGTCTTGACCGATGATCAGGACCTGCACATGAACTCTTTGGAGTACATCCCGCTGATTCAGAAACGGCTTATTGAAGAAGGGACATTGTACAAGAAACATTTCTGCACGACGGCAGTTTGCTGCCCGTCGCGTGCGAGTTTGTGGACTGGCAAATTGGCTCATAACACCAACGTCACCGACCTCAACCCACCATACGGTAAGAGATTCACTCGTCCAGTTATCTGACTGACAGAAGACATGGCTTATGAGCATACACTAATTGGTTTTGCAGGTGGTTTCCCCATTTTTGTGAAAAATGGCCACAATGAGAACTATCTCCCCATTTGGCTACAAAAGGCCGGATACAGCACCTATTACACGGGTAAAATGTTCAATGCCCATACTGTTTGGAACTATGACAGCCCGCACTTGAAGGGCTGGAACTCCTCTGTGAGTGTCCTGCTTTACTAGTCAACCAATCTTCCCTGCTGACTTGGTTTCAGGATTTCCTCCTGGACCCTAACACCTATGACTACTACAACGCCACCTTCCAGCGTGACCATGAGAAGCCGGTCAACCATCTCGGCGAGTACTCGACGGATCTAGTCGCCGAGAAGGCCTACGGGTTCCTGGATGAAGCTGTAGATGCCGGCAAGCCCTTCTTCCTTGGCATTGCTCCCATCGCACCTCACAGCAATGTCAACTCCAGTATCCTTCTCCCAATCAAGGGCCCAGACGACGATGTGCCCGTCTCTGATGACAAGTTCAGGGTCAGCATCCCGTTAGCTGCTAAGAGGCATGAGCACCTCTTTGAGGATGCCAAGGTTCCGAGAACAGAAAACTTTAACCCTGACAAGCCTTCGGGCGCCGACTGGGTTCGTCGCCAGCCCAAGCTCACGGATGAGAACGTGGCATACAACGATAAGCACTATCAAGGACGTCTACGTGCCCTACAAGCAGTCGATGAGCTTGTCGACGGTCTCGTGGAGAGATTGGAAAAGCATGGCATCCTGGACAACACCTACATCTTCTACACGACGGACAACGGCTACCACATTAGCCAGCACCGACTGCAGCCCGGCAAGGAGTGTGGATACGAGGAAGATATCAATATTCCACTGATCGTTCGTGGACCTGGTGTTCCCAAGGGAGGCGTGACTGAAGCCGTAACGGCCCACGTTGACCTCGTTCCCACCATCCTGTCGCTCGCGGGTGCCCCGTTGAGAGCCGACTTTGATGGAGCCCCGATCCCGCTCTCGACAAAGGACTTGACGGAGTCCTCCTTGACTCGCGAGCACGTTAATGTTGAGTACTGGGGCTGGGCAATCACTGAGAGCAAGTTCGGCTTCAATGGCGATGACACGAAGCGCATCTTCAACAACACGTACAAGGCGCTGAGGGTTGTTGGGGAGGGCTACAACCTCTACTACTCTGTTTGGTGCACTAACGAGCATGAGCTGTATGATATGACCGTAAGTTTGCTTAAATCCGTGGTTGACATCCTGCATGTGAAGAAGTAGAGCGTATGTGCTGATAATTTGCCCAATCTAGACGGACCCCGGCCAGCTTCGCAACCTCTTGCACGCCGACGAGGCCGCCCTTGCTGCAGGCGCAACCATTCTCGGCTACCCTCTGAAGAAGGTCCTACCCAGACTCGACTCCCTACTCTTCGTTCTCAAGTCTTGCAAGGGCACGACATGCTCGCAGCCATGGAAGGCATTACACCCTACAGGAAACGTCGGCAGTCTACTCGAAGCCCTCGCACCGCGCTTTGACGAGTTCTACACTCAGCAGACGCGTGTGCAGTTTGATCACTGCGAGCTGGGTCACATTGTCGAGGCCGAAGGGCCGCAGTTTGAGCATGATGGAGCTGTGTACTGGAAGGGATCCAAGTGGAGCGACTGGACTTGAGCACCTTTGGCCGTATGTAGGAAGCTGTTCTGAGGCATCGCCGCATAATGAAAGCTGAATGGATTACCTACCACTTGCCGATTATCTGCCCGTCGTACAAGAGTAGTGGGGTTCTACAGCATCAAAAGGCGGTGAAAATTCCCTCAGCCAAGGTCTGCAAGTGAAGCATGTCCAACAGCATGACCGTGCGTGATCTCGAACAATCGCAACGTGACGGACGCAACGGCACGCGGCTAACTGCTCGATCAAGGGCCCGCCGTGCGACATCATAACCCCTCTTCCCCCACATTGAGATCCGCTTCGGAACTAGGAATTTAAGCTCCCTTGCTTTCCGGAACTAGGAAAACCAACATTCCCCCAACTCCGACCAGGTTAGACTTCAGGAAATACTTGACATATTAAAGCAAGTGATCCCTGACGTAAGTCTACTCGATTCGTCATCATCTGATGGAAAAAGGTGGTTGTAGCTTGGGTGGGACACTTTACGAAAAACATCTCAGTTTTGACGACGACTTCCCCACGCCTTAATCCCGTGCGCATCCAACGTTCATCTCTACTAAACGCAAAGTCCATTCCCAAGTAAATCGTTATGGCGCCGTATCAAGGTCATTGTAACTGTGGTTCGGTGAAGGTCACAGTCAATAAGAAGCCGGATAGCATCGTTATCTGTCATTGGTAACTCCACCATTCGCATTGCCTCCACAGCTGCCAATCGGGGGACACAAGTTGACACGATAGAAAATTTCAGTTCAAACTGCAAACGCGCTGGTGGCCGTACGTTAGAATTCGACATCTTTATATTTTCTAAACTGACTGTAATGGAAACATGTAGCCTTCTCCATGAACCTATTTGTCGACGATGGTGAATGGGAGATCGATGATAGCCAAAAAACGCTCAAAGAATACCAGGACTCAAACACTGATTCTGGAAACACCATTCAGGTGAGTTGAAACTCCTCCTCTAATAAAGTAGAAACCGTCTCTGACATTACGTTTCCAGCGATGCTTTTGCGGAAAGTGTGGAAGGTAAAGCTATCAACGACCTAGGTGACCTGCCCATCCCTGTACTGACGTATCTGGCAGTCCTGTTAAGACCACAACAAAGGCGATTCCGGGCAAAGCTCTCATTAAGGCGTCGTTGTTTGATGACATCCCAACGGAGAAGAGGGAAGTGTACGGACAGAAGGCAATCACCTGGGCGTAGCGGATGATGTACCCGAATTTGAAGTTACGAAATGTAGCGCTTAAGGCGAGAGGGGGCGCACTCTGGCGGATGAGGCCGGGTAAAAGTGACCGAAGATAGGCAGATTGTTGATATCTGTATTTGATATTGAATTTAGAAAAAGATATACGGCATTTCGCTTCCATCCAGAATCTGTCAACCGATGAGAGAAAAGGTATTCCAACTGCCCGAATGAGGCAAAAAGTCTATAGTGATCACCTTTGTCAATTACTCGTCCGCCTCCCTAAACGTTCAAGTCCGCCCCTGTATGCCCAAACTCGCTCTTATACGTCGTATCTATGATCCCAGTATCTACAATTCTCGTATCGGTGCGATTGGAAGGGAAGGTGCGGTTGAATCCCTGATACGGACCCAGACTTGGCGGGAGATCCTGGACTCTCGTTCCCCAGTCACTCTCCCGCCGGCCAAGAGTAAGCACCAGCTCTTGACCCTCAGTGAAGAACTTGTGATCAACCCAGCTTTTTCTGTAAGGCTGACCATTCAAAGTCGCCTTTTGAATGTAGATGTTGCGGTAGGTCGGGTCAAAATTGATATTGCGGACCTTGGCCGTCCTGCCTGTTTGCGGGTGCGTGATTTCGAGGCTCTCAAAGAAGGGTGGAATGATCAGATACACATCTTGCCCGGGGTTTGGGAAGAGACCCATCATGGAGAAGGCCAGGAATGATCCCATGGCCCCGCTATCATCGTTACCGGGAAGCCCGGCTGGGTCAGGTGAAAAGAATGAAGGGATGTAGAAGTGGGCTCGTCTTGCTGAGAGAGCTGGACGACCGGCGTAATGGTACTGGAAGACTGTGAGGAAGGCTGGCTCGTTGCCAATGTAGGTGATGTTCTGGTCATGCAAGAAGTTGAGCCTCCGAACAAAGGCGTCCGGACCTCCAAGAGTGTTGATGAGCGTTCCTTGGTCGTGAGGAACAAAGCTATCGAGGTTAGTTACTAGAGGTTCCCATTGCCAATCGCATTCCATGTCAACTTACAAGCCATATTCCCAAAGACTACTCTCAAATGTTTCTGGGCCGTTGTTCTGTAGGGAACAGGAGCTTTGGCCGTCTAGATTACTGCAGTTGAGCGGATTCTGGTATGCCCAAGTCTGGTTAAGGAACTTGGGCTCGAAGAATCCTCTGAACCCTGTGTCGGTGCCGTTGAAGAAAGCTGATTTCTGGTCCTGCTTGTACAGATTGCGCCAGTTGCTACTCGAGGAAAGATACTTCTCCCGATCGTCCCCATGTCCCATCCGGTCAGCCATGGAGGCGATGCAGAAGTCGTTATAGCTGTACTCGAGTGTTCGTGAGACGCTCCTCGTTAGTGTTCCGAATCCCTTGACGTCGAAATCTTGCACAGGGATGTAACCCAATTTCTTCCAGCTATCCATGCCGCCGCGGCCGTTGACGCTCCAGTCAAACGGTTCTTCATCTGCGTCCTTCTTCACTGCTTCATAGCCCAGTTCCCAGTCAATGCCTTCAGTGATGTTCTTCAAATAGGCGTCTGCTAGAACGTTGTCCGCGTTGGATCCTCCTTGAGTGAGGCCCTTGCACAAGCTCATACGGCAGTCCGGAAGCCAGCCGAGGTGAACATATGTGTCGATGAGAGACCGGATCATTTGCGCGACCGAAGTTGGATCGATGATCACCAGAAATGGGATCTGGGAGCGGAACGAATCCCACAGACAGTAAAATGAGTCCCAGTAAGGCTCATCGCTTTTCCATAAGGGATTCTCGCCGGTGTAGTTTTGCGGATTGACCATGGTCCGATAGATGCCGCTATAGAAGTTCCTCGCAAATGACTCGTTCACGCGATCAGTGTTGATCTTGATGGGACTGAGCTTGCGACGCCATATTGCTGTTGCTTCACCCGACACCCGCTCAAAGTTGTAATCCGAAATTTCACCCTCAGCATGTTCGCACGCCCGCTGCTCACTGATGAAGCTTGTCGCAACACGCGCGGTGATAGGCTGATCCGCAGACTTGAATCGCACAAAAGCGCCGCCGGGTAAGGGGTACCCGTTGATTGACCGCGAGATAGTCATGTTCTTGACTTCTGTGCTCGCGCGACTGTCTGCAAAGATACCCGTGTCAAGAATCTCAGCGCCATTAAAGTCGGTGCAAAAGTGAAGGACAAAGGTGCCGCTACCAAAACTCGGTTGGAAACGCGCGTTGCCCGTGATGCGTCCGGACTTCGCGTCCACATTGATAGTTGCGTTGTCTTGCCTCGTGTCGCCGAGATCTGAGAGGTCTTGGAGAATAAGAGGCTGTCCTGCTTGAGGGAAGTTGAATCTTATAAGAGATGCTCGCTCAGTCGTCGTCATTTCTACCCTGATACCGGTTTTAAGGGTGATATTGAAGAGTCCTGGCTTTGCGATTACGTCTTTTTCGTTGAAGTAGCCGTATTTCGCTCTTGACTTCTTCGGAAATGTGCACCAGTTGATGACTCCGCTCGGGCAAGTTGTGTACGCGAATAGAGGAAAGTTTCCAAGGGAAGGTTGTCCGCCGGTACCAGAATCGTGCATTGTTGAAAAGCCGGTGACCGGATTCCCATCCAGAGTGAAGCCGCCTTGATTCGAGCTACTGTTCGTATCCGCAGATGCCTTTGCCATGCCATAGGGTAGTGTCGCACCCACGAAGACGTTGCCACCATTCCTCGAGCCGATGAGAGGATCAACATACTTCAAGGCATCGAAATCATCCAATGCCTCAACTGCGGCTGAGTTCGTCAAGTCTGCAGAGGATGAGCCGGAAACCCAGTTCGATGCAGCTTGTACCGCGTCGTGAGCTGCATGTGAGGCTGCGTGAGACAGCGAAGGTAGATGGGTGTCTGGCATAAGCCACCAGCGAAACAACGCCGCGGCGCCATGGAAAGACCACAACTCGCTCCACATCATGAGTCCTGGTTGATGATGTGTTTGCTACCTTGACGAATGGAGTCTAAAGTCTGCAGCGACAACCGCGTTGAAAATTCCCCATCGTACCTTATCATACAAGTAGTAAATGGCTGTTCCGGCCAACACGTGACGAAACGTCAAAGCTAAAGTTGGTCTCAAGTTCAGTAGAGTTTCCTTCGAGCTCTGCTGAGAACGTCCTGCATACCACTCATGCCAGCTTGAGGCGGCCATTGGGCATCATGGCGTAAACGGCGAAAACCGGCCATCGTGCACCGCGATTCCAACCCCGCAGTAGGACTTGTCATGGACTAGATAGTGTAAACTCTCTCTTCATTTTGATGGTTGCATTGAATCTCTTAGCTTCAAAGATGCTTCAATAAGTTGAGGTCGCACGCGGCAATCGAATAACGTGGTCTCGGTCCCGTCGTCGCATTGATCGAAAGCCCGCTTGGACCCGACAGTTGCAAGAAAAACTCAAACAATGGGGCGGAAGGCAGGCATTGGCAGGTCTATCTCTTCGCGAATCCAACCGTTTCACATTGGAAACGAACCTTTTTTCCATTTCGTACACTGAAAATGGGCGTTTCTCGTTATTTGTTTCCCTCCCGAGTCAGGATGCTTTGGTCCGTGGGGGCGGGTTGACGGCCGCCACCCTGCTTGTTTGCCGGCAAGATGGCTGAGTGTTGCCTTCTTTGGGAGCCAGTTGTCGCATTTCGGCTTCGAGAAGCTCTGAGTAGAAGGCATGCGAATTGGACGAACTACAGCTGAGTTTGCTGCTACATAGTAGTACCTGTCTGCCCGCTTGGTCGGCCTGCCTTATGCTGATCGTAATGATGACCGTTCTTATTGGCTTTCGAGAATGTCACCGACCTTGCTCTCTGA